GAGAATCAGAAATTGCCTGAATTAGGGTTCAGCCTGATGGCTGACGGTGGCAACCCTGATCAGAGTATGAACCACATAACAACACTCTACCCTCTATAAAAAATTGACGGTGACATTGCAGAGATGCATTCCTTTTCCTCAAGAGCATTAGACTGGTTAACTAACCTTAAACTGGACTTGAACTTTGGCTAGGGATGGACATTCAAAAAGCCTGAGTCTGAATTACTAGACCCCGGCCCCCTGCTAGCACTCTGAGGCAAGGTGGGTTTGCAGTGCATACATCTGTTGATGATACGGAGCTTTTCAAGCTCCCTCCCTGCTTCTTTATACTGTCTGCAGCAAACTGACAGGGGAGCAACCCAGCAGGGGACTGATAAGTGTTTATCACTTGATCAGGAAAACAGTAGCCTCTCTCCATTTTTCCAAACTCTTCATAAACAGCTTACTGGCTGACCTGTTGATTAGCTGCAAACAGCCCTAAGCCGTCACTGTTCTGTCTGCCTAGCCCAGTGAATTGGAGAGACTCGGACACAGAGGCATCTCCCAGCATTAGCTAGCATACCACATGCATATGGTCCGTGAGGCTGAGGTCTGTGCTATGGGAGGAGGGGATCCCTGCTTTTCCAGCAGGCAGTGGGGGGTGGGGGGAGAGGGTAAAAGGGAGAAGCCATGCAGACCCTGATGTACCTGCAAGTCTCTGCCAGAGCTGCAGCAGAGGGGAGGGACCAGCCCTGCTGTGGAGTAGAGAGCCCTGCCCAGCCCGGAGAGCATTCAGGGATGCTGGGGGACTCTGGTTTAGGTTAAACCAGGGAGGGGTCTGGGACAGACATTGCATAAACTGATTAGAGCCAAATCAGTTAAGTCTGATAGTGCATTCAACCAGGCTTACCTTAAACCGGTTTCAGCCATTTTCAATCTGACTTAAGCGCACTGAACATCTGTTCTGTTACAGGTTTAAACCAGTTTCTGATCACTTTTAAGCTGCTTTATGTGTAATGTCTATTCCTAGCCGTAATTGTTGATCCAAGTCAGCTATACAAAAGAAGAAGATTGCTTGGAAACTGAACTGAAGGGATATGGCTCGAGATTCAGAATATCCAACAACAGACACTTGATTTGACTGTTCAATCATATTACAAGCCCTCAGCCACTAGCTAAAATCATATTAGCATCTGAATTTTTTAGTACTTTTGCAATGGACTGAGACATGTCACATGACCATAGTATGCAGCGCAATATGGATTGTGCATAGTATATCACTGACGCTCAAAAATATGTTTTTTGGTTTTTGTCTTTTAGGTATTGCTAGAAGCACAGAAAGAATTGGTGGACTACAAAGGGCTTGGCATTAGTGTTCTTGGTAAGATGTATTTTTTGGTTCTGGAAGTTTTCTAGAATTTTGAGTTGTAGTTGGATTATTAAAAAAAGGCATAATAAAGATTGAACTGTCATTTCAATCAGTGATTGAATGTGTGCTTTGAAATATCTAAGTTCTTTAGTCCCTTAAACATTGCAGTCCTCACTTTGCAAGACTTATGACAGAAGGCTATAGAGTGCCCTAGGCAGATACTTCATTCTTCTTGCCTTGAGGTCTGTAGTCTGTGCTTTAGGGCTTCTGGATCTTTGGGATAACTCTTTGTTTATTATCTGGCATTGGGGAAAAATCTCTTTGAAAAGTCCCTATATTATGTGTCTGTTTGAAAAAGCTTTCAGAGTTGTCCAAAACACATTTTGCATCTCGATTAGGAAGGGAGTGTACTCAGAAAAGTGCCTTTTGTGTTTTATGCATGTGCATTTAATTTTTTAGTCACAGTTCTGCAAAAATGTAGATGTATTTTTAATTTTGAGAATCTTAGTTGTCCCATAAGACTACTCACCTTCCTAAAGTTAAATGTGTACACAAGTCTCTGAAGGATCAGTCCCTTATTTTATACTAAATGTTACATTATTATATATCTTATATTGTTGTTTATTTTTGTATACAGTTGAGTTGTGTAATTGTATATTATCACACAACTTACAATAATTTGGGGGATATTAAAAAATTGGGGTGAGAATCTTCATTGTGGGGACTAGCAATATGTGTACTCCATCCATCTCTTTCTAATGATCCTTAGTTTTTAATGAGAACTATGAAACAAGAAACCCCTTTAAAAACTACTTTGATTAGAGTAGCCATGTGCTGGGAAAGAAGAATGATAGAGGCATACCTGGAGTGTTAATAAAAACATAATTAAGAAGTAATAAACATTATCTTGTGGTCGGAGCAGTGGGCTGAGAGTCTGGAGATCAGGATTCCAACCACTTTTGCACAACAACCTTTTTAACATTGCTCATTATTCTGTAGTGGGGCACAATGCCTTGATCTATTGAAGCCCTTAAGCACATGTTTCAGCACACTGGTGTCTGATGCAAAGTCCACCACTTCAGTAGATTTCCACTGAATTCAGTGGACTTTGGAGTTGAGCCTCATTGAACAGGGATGGACATAGGCATGTTCCTAAGTGTTTTGCTATATTGGGAGTTCTGTGGGTGCAAAGCATCATTATAAAAGTCATGTGGCTTGCATTTGGCATAACTGGCTAATGGAGAGCTTTTCCTTTTACACAAAGTCGAGTTAATATATTTAGTCATAGTTCACATTCTTTCTGACTTTTTTGTTTTGCCCACAGAAATGAGCCATCGGACATCTGATTTCACAAAAATTATAAATACGGCTGAAAATATCTTGCGTGAGCTGCTGTAAGTTCTTTGGGTTTTTTTAATAAATGTGTTTCTCCTTTGGTTTTGATGTATGTGTGTATGACAAAAATGTTTTCACTAGGTTTAGGAACTTTGCCTGGGGCTTTTCATAAGAACATTTCAAAATGGCTCCAGTTTTAGCAGTGACATAAAGTTCAGTGACTAGTATTCTTGGAGAAACAGTGCAAGCACAGTTCATGATTTGTTCACTGTAGAGTTATCTGTAATCCCTTGATTAAAGGATGAGTTCTACCACAGCTCATTAATAGGTCTTGAGATGACTTGGAGTCCAGTCCTTGAGCCACAGATCCATCTGCAGAAGTTGCAGGTCTTTCCTCAGGGGAGAGTAGGCTGCAGGCTGGGATTCCTCTCCTTTTCCTTCCTCCACTTTTTTTTTTCTTTACTTCGAGGGCAAGATGCTTATCTTGAAATGGGCTGCTGCTTGGTTGAGGCTGCAGTGTCATTGGAATCAGCCAGCTCCTTCCAACTCTTGATGTCTGCATCTATTATCTTGAGATATGATTTCAATGTGTCTTTGTAGAATTTCCTCTGGCCACTGTGAGATCTTATGCCACAACTAAACTGGGAGTCGAGTCGAGCATCCACACAATGTCTGGTCCAGCAAAGTTGGCGCTTGAGGATCACAGACTCACTGTTAACGTTGGTTTTGGCAATGGTGCTGGCATTTGTGTGATGATCTTCCCATTTGATGTGAAGGATTTTCTGGAAGCATCATTGGTGATATCATCTCAAGAGCCTGGAAAGGTGATGCTATCTGTTTCATATCCATAGAGGAGAGTGGGGATAATGACTGCTTTGTAGACCTGGATTTTGGTGTTTTTTCAAAGATCATGATGAATAAAGACACGCTGAAGCAATTTCCTAAGGAGGCACTTGCACACCAGATCCTGTGCTGGAGCTCATCAATGTTCACACTCTTAGAGAAGTGGCCACTGAGGTAGGGAAGTGCTTGATTACCTCCAGGGCCTTTCCCTCAATGGTGGTCTGGAGAGAAGGGTCACATTTGTTGTCTGGAGCAGGTTGGTAGATTAATTAGTTTTCTCAATGTTGAGAGAGAGGCCCAAAGTTCGGTGGACTTCTCCAAAAAGATCCAGTGCAATCTGGAGCATTTTCTCAGTGTGCATGCAAGGTTCGTGTGGCATTTTGAAGGTTGTTTTGAGTAGTTTGGTCTTGGAACAAAGATTACCCAGATTGAAGAGCTCTCCATCCGTTTGGTACTCAATGTCAAGTGCAGAAGGAAGGTGGTCCTTAATCAGAATTAGGACAACTGTCAGAAAGCTGGAGAACAGAGTTGGGGCAATGTCACATCATTGCTTGACCCCAGTTCAGATGACAAATGGATCTGTCTTGATCTGCTACGTAGACCTGTCACAGTCATCTGGTTGTGGAGGAGCCTCAGGACCTTGATGTACTTTTCAGGACATCCAAATCTGGCCAGTGCTTTCTACAAGGCTTCATGACTGATAGAATCAAAGGCCTTAGTAAGGTCAATGAAGGCTATATACAGACCCTGATGTTCCCCAAAGTTTTTTTGGACCTGGCAGGAAACAGATTAAGTCAATTGCCCCATACAGTTGTCTGAAACCTCACTGAGATTCCAGCAGGACTTCCTCAGCAAAAGGTAGAAGACAGTTCAGGAGGATGTGGGCAAGGATTTTCCCTGCTGTGAAAAGGAGTGTAGTACCCAGATATTTCCCACACACATACTTGTTTCCTTTCTTGAAGATAGTCATGATGTTGGCATTCCTCAGGTCCCCAGGAATCTCTTCATTGGAATAAATTCATGGAGTCTCTGCCAGTTCCTTGCCACCAACTTCATAGATGTCAGCAGGTATGACATCTCATCCAGTAGCCTTGTTCTTGGTTTCCTTGATGATATGCCAGACTTCTAGGGTAGGAAGGTTGATGAGGGTCCTTTTTCAGGGTGTTGGGGGATGGGCTCAAAGGTGATATCCACCACAGTAGACTCAACTGTTCAGGAGTGCCTCAAAGTGCTCTTTCCAGCTTGGATAGAGTCATTGTCTTTGAGGAGTGTCAAGCTGTCCTGCAATTGTAGGTAAGTAGGACCACAGGAAGTTGGACTGTAGACAGCTTTTGTTGCCTGGAAATAGCTATACATGTCATGTTTGTCTGTGTAGAGCTGGATCTCCTTGGCTTTATCTTGCCATCTCTGATTTTTTTTTTATATCTCAGATCCTCCTTTGCTCTTTGGCTTTGAGGAATTGATATCCTTCATTTCCTGAGACGAGGTGTCATCTTGCCAAGTAGGATGAGTCCTTCTCTTCTGGTGGAGGGGGGCTTGGATCTCGGCATTGCTAGTCATGGTGTTTATGGGTGGTATAGTCAATGGATTCTGCACAGGCCATATGGACAGTGGCTTTAGACTCCTTCCAGAGGTTCCTCAATGTCACCTTCGTTTGTGGCCAGAGCAGAGAGCTCTTCATGGAGACACTATTAGAGATTCTTACAGATCTTCAGGTCTTGAAGAGATTTGGTGTTAAGAGTCAAAAGCAATGCAACTGATTGTTTTTGGTGTTTTGGAGCAAGCTGGATGTTCCTAATGCATCTGACAAGATGATGATCTGTCCAGCGTCATTGGTTCCTCTGCATTTAGAGGTTTGCTGGGATAAAATTTGTGTGCATCTCCTGAAGACAGTCGAGAAGTTTTGGCCTACTTATAACGTTGTATATTGTTCTGAACATTACAATAAATTCATTTGCATAGTGTATGGGGGTTATTGTGCATTTTTTATATCAATCAGTAAACAAAATACTTTTTTCTAAGGTCCTGGCTTTACAAATTGTGCATATAAATACCTATGCATTGGAAAAGTAACTTGAAATTTTCGTGAAGAACTTCACTATTAGTAGTTAAGCATTAGAACAAGCTACCTAGAGAGGTTGTGAAATCTCCATCCTTGGATGTTTTCAAGAGCAGGTTAGATAGATGCTTGACTGGGATGTTTCAGTCAGGGATGATCCTACCTTGAGCCAGGGGGGCTAGACCAGATGACCTCTTGAGGTTCCTTACAGTTTTGCTTTTCAAAGATCTAACGATCTCATGAACAAACACTCTGTACCCAGTTGGTTACTTGTGTATGCAGAAATCTGGTTTGTCTTTGGTAAACTGCATAGACAAACTAGACACACTTGCAAGTTTCTAAAACTCTTGCCTCTTCCAGTTTAACTTCTTCTAATGCTTTTAACAGTGTTGAGCCAAAAATAGATTTACTTCAACAATAGTTACATATAGCTTTTCTTTTTACAAACAGTTTGTTCTTCACATCAAAATTATAGCCTGAGAAATGAAGAAATATTTCCTGTTAGGCTAACAATAAACTAGTCTTTCATGAATACTGATTTTATTATCGCTTGTCTACATTAGGTTGTTTATTGCTTGTAACTTGCAATAGATTTGGTACTCATACATTACGTATTTTATTATTAGTGTGACAGAAAATCGTGCTGGTTTTGCACACTATCTTACATTTGGTATTGACAAATATGTAATATAGCTCCTGATGACAAAGTAAGGCCAGTATTGAGATAAATTAGTTGTTTTTGGTTTATCTTTGTCTGGAATGTCTCTTTCTAAAACTGAAACATATTTCTCCTAAGACTTTTTTTGCCTTTAGAGTTTGGTAACAAGGAGAGTCTCCTAAGTCCAGTATGTACTTTTGTGTGGAGTAGAACATTCTATTTCTTTCTTTTACACAGAAATATACCAGGAAACTACAAAGTCATTTTCCTCCAAGGGGGTGGATCTGGTCAGTTCAGTGCTGTTCCACTTAACCTTATTGGACTAAAGGAAGGAAGATGTGCAGATTATGTGGTTACTGGAGCTTGGTCAGCAAAAGCAGCTAAGGAGGCAGAGAAGTATGCCAAAGTGAATATTGTTCACCCTAAACTTGGCAGTTACACAAGTAAGTTTGATGATTACTGTAATGTGACTGAAAGTTTAGCCCATTGTTACTTCTAACAAGAATTTCAAGTCATTCTAGCAGAACAATTATGTCACTTTTGAGTCATTCCAGAAACACTGTGTTAAAACTGCTGTCAAGCTACCAAATTCTACCCAGTCAAACACATGGCTTCCCATCATTTTAAAATTGCTGATAAGATCCATTAGGCTGTCTAACTGGAGACGGGATGGAAGAGAAGTGGCTGCTGCTATTGCTGCTGTAGGTGTGTTAGGCATGCTTAGAGCATGCATGGGTGGGGGCCCGTTTGTAGATCTCAGTGGGGCATAAGATGGAAGCCAAGCTGTTCAGTACCGACAAAATTGAGTTGCTTCTGAACATGCCAAGAAGCAGAATTTTAAGTGCTTGAAGAACTTTATTGTTGAAAACATAGGTCCTTAAGCTGTTAGGCCAGAGCTTTGATGTTTTTCCCATGTTCTTAGGTGGCTCAAGTCCTGCATTAGACTCTTAAAGTCATTTTGTGGATCTAGGCTGTAGCTGAAAGATGGCTTTGTCTTGTTGCTAGTTGAAGAATTGCTTCCCAGTGTAATAAAACAGCCTTAAGGACTTCAAAGTTTAATGCAAAAGTAAAACTGCATACCAGTAAGATTAGTGTGCTGATTCCACTTGTCTGTGATAACCTTTGTTTATCCTTTCTTTATTTATCTCAGAAATTCCTGACCCAAGCACTTGGAATCTTAACCCAGATGCCTCTTACATCTATTACTGTGCTAATGAGACTGTCCATGGTGTAGAGTTTGACTTTGTACCTGATGTCAAAGGGGCAGTTTTGGTTTGTGATATGTCATCAAACTTCCTGTCCAGGCCTGTGGATGTTTCTAAGGTAGAGTATCAAACATGCTGAAGCATAATTACAGTACAGCAGCTTCAATCTTGAATGCCTAGAATTATGCACCTGAATTAATAGCCAGATTGTCAGGTATGCTGAGCACTCTCCATTTCCACTGAAGCCACCAGGAGTTGTTCATGCTGACGCATCCAGAAATCCAAGCTGCTTTTATTTAGGCACCTAAACATGGATTGAGACGCTTACATTTAATAACTCCATAGTGTGCCATCTTCTCTAATGAGAATTAGACACATGTGAAATTTCCTAGTATTTGTTTCAGAATGAACTGTCCATTGTACCTATAACACACTAAAGACAGTCTCAGCATCAGAACTTGTATACGCTTACAGTAATTTTGAGAGTGTCTGTCTGTATCTTTTCGGTGGGTTGTTTAACTAAAACTGTACCTGGATCTGGTGTATTTTCTTAACCATATTTAGGTTTTATATAGTTTTTCCTTCAAATGGTTAAAGGAAGAGACTAGGTGTCAGGATGCTTGGGGCATTTATACATGTGCTCTGGGAGTAGAGTTGGGGGGGAATACAGTAATTACTATGCTCCAGTAGACTTGATTAATTTTTATGTCATTACAGTGCATTGGAGCAGCCTTGCTGCTCGTGTATAAGTGCCCCTGGATTCTGCTCTTGGCTCTGCCATGGGCAAGCTTTATGACTGTGATCAAGTCATTTAAAATTTTTATTCCTCAGTTTCCCTGTCTGTAAAATAGGGATAAAATAGAAATGTATAAGCATCTTTTAAAGTACTTTAAAATATTTAATTCATTTACTTATTGAATGAATACAGTTTATCAAATAACAGATTTAACATATAAAGATGCACCCATTCCCCTAAAATAAACAGCTGTAAGTACTTTCAGATCTTTGCAAGAGAGGCACTTAGAAGTATGAAGTGCTGCTGACTCATGAACTTTTTTTTTCTTTTTATATGTAGTAAAACCAAAACATATGACCTTCTTTAGGGAACTGTAGGGAAAGGAAAGATATTTTATTTTCTACTTGGACTTTATAGATTTGCCTTTCTTTAGCTTCCTTTTATTCAGATAGAGCAGTGATTCTCAGGTAGGGTGTGACAAGTTCATTTTAAGGGTGCTGCTCTGTATTAGCATTCTTAGGTGTACATACACCTACACATGATTGAAAAGATAAACCCAGGGATTTCTAATAAGAATCCATAGTGTCAAAAATATCCTGTTGTAGTCTTTCTTAGTTATTTACCACAGAATAATTGCTCCATAGTCAAAAACAAAGTGAAAGACAGGAGAGTCTTGAGTCTAACAAGGGATGCCTTGAGTCTAACAGGGTTGAGAGCCAGAGAGCTAGAGATTACATGGTGCCACTTGAATGGTTTGAAAATGCCTATAAGTAAATTTGCTTTGGATTGCAAACAGATGGGGATACATGAGACTAGTGTGTAGATAGCTATTGGATGGGGCCTTTGTAGATGAGGTATGATGGTTCTTGAGGTGGACTGCCTCATATGAAAGTGAATATTTTGCTAGTATAGATAAGCAGGCAGATACGAATCACCTGGAATTTGAAGTGTACCCTGAAATCAACATACAGTTTTCAATGATTCCCGTGCCTTTTAGATAACTTGGTTCACTTGTCTGTATTTTTTTATGGAAAAAGACAGATGGCATAACAATAATAATCTCAAGTAAGTCGCTGCCTCTAAGAATTCTTCTGGTCTTCTTCCTATTCAAGTTTGGTGTCATTTTTGCTGGTGCCCAGAAGAATGTTGGCTGTGCTGGAGTCACTGTGGTAATTGTACGAGAGGACTTGTTGGGATTTGCACTCAAAGAATGTCCCATAGTACTAGATTACAAAGTACAAGCTACAAATGGGTCATTATACAACACTCCTCCATGCTACAGGTAATTTTTCCTTCTAAAATGTAATATTTTTCATCTAGCAAACCACTAGGTTGGCATGCACTGCTATCAGAAAAAGGTTTCTGAAACAAACATTCATAGGCTGGAATCATGATAACTTTGAGAGAGTGGTTGTCACAGGACACAGTCCTATGACTGACTTAGGGTGCTTGGCATCTGGCAGGATCAAGTCTTAAGTTCTTTATCTGAAGTGTATACTTCAAGAGCTATAATTTATTATATGCACATCAGGGCCCAAGTTTCTGCTGGTTGAAAATGAATTGGTCCAGAGAATTTCACAGTACTACCAGAGAGAGTACTGACAGAATCTTTCCCTTTAATCAGTCGTGTGGACAAGTATAGAACCCTTTATTTGGTAGATGAAGCTACTGCCAAGTTACTCATAGGATGAACAACTACAGAGGGGCAGGGGACTCTGCAAAGTTCCTCTTATAGAGTTCCCTGCAACTTCCTTAAGGGCTAGGGTTTGCTCCACTTACCTTCCCACCTACCTAAGGAGCCATGGTCCTAAGACATTCTAGAGGCCAGAATTACCTACTAATAGACCTCCGGCCTCAATAGCATCCCCATGATATCCTTTCCCTTCCATCTATCTTCTGACCTGTGGAAAACCCTTAACAACCCAGCATTATTTTATTGTGCAGTGGATTCCTTGTAGGGCAGAGGGATTGAGGTATGGCTTACTTTACAATACTTTTTCTCTTTTCTAAACTGCCTTCTTTGCAGTTTAGACTTTGGCATGGTCCTGTGAAGGTAGTTGCTTCCTTGCATGCAAGGGAGGAGAAACATTACCTGTGTGTGAATGATCCATTCAGCACACACGGCCAGAGGTTTTTTAATATCTAAGTTAGAAACTCCCTTTCATTCTGCACACCCAAGTAGTGATGACAGAGACTTATTCTTTCAAATGGTTATTCCTAAAACTTTTTTTTTGTAGTTTCCCGATTTCCTGTAACAGCTTTTAAAATGAGATCATAGCTAAGTGTTTTAAGCGTGGCATCTTGGCGATTGTACTTATCCTCTCTATCAAGGCATTTCATACAGAATTTAAACAGATAGCCCCCTCTACAGTTAATCTGGCAACCAGAAAAACCTCTATTGTTTTGCTTTATAATAATCACCATCAATCAAGATTACAGTCAGAATAAACTTTGTAAATTTTGACTCGCTTTTTTGTGGCTGCTGACTCTAACATGCTGACAGTTGTGAAATCATGCTTTGCCAGCAGGAGATTCAGAAGACCTATGAGAGGCAGACGCTACAAGACCAATCCTGCTTCATCTGTGGCAAAATTACCTTGAATTTAGTGGAAGTTGGAACATTTCTTATGTAACACTTACATTAAAGTGGTGATTTTTTTTTTTTTTTTAGTAATATAGTACTCTAATTCAGAACTCATTTTTTAAAAAACAACTTATCCCCTTTACTTTAGAATTATGTTTGCTAGATAACTTTGGAAGGAGAGAACTTTACTTTTAAAGGTATGGTATTTCATTTTGGTTTTGAGAAGAGTTCCTATTCAAAGCAAAATTTAAGTCGATACAACTTTTATGCCTATTTCCACACAATTCAAGAAGGCCATTGTTAAGGCATGCTGTATGTGTTAGAAGGCACAGTAACTCCTGTATATGGAGTTACAATACAGTTCCTTAATTTAGTATACAAGCTCAGTGGAGCCAATTCATAATTTATGTGGAAACTGAAGCTTTGACTTTTCCATGCATTACATGTGAATATGCTACTAAAATGAAATAGGACTTTTTATATTAACTAGTTTCTGTTTTTTAAGGTCTGATTTACATCGCATGATCATTCACTGATTTCAGTCGGTGAGAACTGTGGGAGTGGGAGGGGTACTGTGGCCCAGACATTTACTGTCACTGCTTCTGGATACCTGTTGATGTAATCTGAGAAATAGGACAGAGGTAGCGGGGGTGACCTTGTCATTATCATGTATGTGTATCTGGACATTTGCACTCCTTGTGTACTTAAGGTATCACGCATGTGCAGAATGCTGTTTTTTTCCTCTGTTGATAAATCTTTTATTTCGTAATCGGATGTTTTCCTACTTGCCAAAGCACACATTCCATAACATGCTTGTATATGCCAAGTTTTAAATCCAAGCCATTCATGTCTTTTCAAATGCAAAAGTATTTCCATTTGAAAAAACAAAAGTCTGCCACATCTCAGAATTTGAACTACGGCGCTTCTGCATGTGAGGGTTAAAACAAAAGCTGACTTCTCAGTTGAAAAGCACTGAGAAATTCCATTTCCATGATGGGAATTATTTCTAATGCAGGTGTCTTTTGGCTATAACTATATTCCTGTCAATAGTATCAGTTGGGCAATGAGAAATGCAGTCATTTAAAATACATTGTAATGATCTGTTTTTTCCTTCTTCCCCACCAGTACTTGGCCAGCTTTTGCTACATGCCAATGACCTGCATCCAAGGATGCTTCAGAATCCAAAATTTAATACAGGACTCAATGTTGGCAGGAGGCAGATCTATTTGGCCTGGTTTTAAAATGCCTTCTCTGCTTTGTAAGGAGCTGGCAAAGCTTCTTTACTTTCCTTCAGCCTTCCCTCGCTTTGTTCTGGTTAGCTGGCAGATAGACAGGAAATATTAAATGAGTTTGCCTAAGCCACTTCAGCACAATATTGAATTCAATTAATGTGATGTTGATTGTTTTAACCTTTTGGCACCAAGAAGCCTGACTTTCTAATGTTTGGTTCTTGTGCTAAAATTATCAGTGAACTTGCTGGGCAAAATATCATATTCCTTTTATATTTAATGCTGCTTCAACACTATACTTTTGTCTAGAATATAACAAGGGTAAGGGATTTTTTTCTTCTTGACCAGATTATTTGGATTGCTTCTGATCCACTCTTCCAAACCTAACTCACAAGTAGTCCCGCAGGCTTGTGTTTCTTAGAGTTAAAAGTAACAAGAGGCCAGTGCAAAACTGTGCATTACCTAATTGGACCTTCAAAACAGGGTTTAATTTATGCAGAGATCTTGCATGGGAGAAGATTATACTGTGCTATTGTAAAGGTTGCAAGTTTTAGTCTTCAAAGCAAACGATAACCTCAGTTGTTCCACAGTATGTTTCTGAAGTGTTTAAAGATTTGAGTTTAGCATCCAAGGAGAAATTAAAGGTAGAAAAGTTAAAAATAAATAAATAAATAAATAAATCTCCTGTTAGACCCTCGTGAGAGAGATTTGTAGGGTAATGTTCTCTAAGCACTCCCTTGGAAACTGTAATAGAGGGATTAATAAAAGCAAACCTGTTGGAAATGAGCCATAAAAATGTGTGAACAGTTTATTATGTAAAGTGGTGTAGCCGTGGGAAATGCCTGAACTAGAACAAGCAGAGTTTTGTAGCAAAAGCACAAAGGCAGAAAGCTTTGAGGATTTTTACATTTACACTGAGTAACCGGCCTTGAAATAGTTGGTCTGTAGCCATCCAAAATGAACAGACTCTCAGGACTTGCATCTAATTAGTAGTACATGTAAAATAGTTATTATTTACCTATGTTTCTATGAAAGTTTTTTCAGGCAAAAATGTTGTCATGGACTTAGGCTTACTGTTTTTGAAAGCAAGGTTAGATTCCTGGCATAATGCTGACAGGGACACTCTAAGACTGTCTGCAGAGCTTTGCCAGTCCAGCTGCATAGGGTGTATAATAGCATTTTCTCTTCCAGCTTGGCCTCTCCTTGGCACTTCTGCGATCATTTCTACTGGCCTGTTAATTCTGCAGTCCTTAAGGACGCAAAGTGTCCAAGGAAGTTTGTGGGAGGCCTGTCTTGATGAGGACTGCAGGATCTGCTTCTGTGTGACTTGGTTATATTCAGCAAACTCTTGCGGTTTTAGAAGTTGTCTATTATTCCAGTTAGGCCCAGACATTTTACTTGCTTCAGAAGATCTCAGAACCTGGAATGCTGTACCAATTCAGCCACCTAAACTGTTACAGCAGTTGCTACCTAAACAATTACTTTTTGCCACTGTGTTAAAAAAAAATGTTTAAGTATGACTACTTTATTAATACTGTGACATCTTAACCTTTGTCTTTGCTTTACAGTATCTATATCATGGGCTTGGTCCTGGAATGGATAAAGAACAATGGTGGGGTTGCAGCTATGGATAAACTTAGTTTAATCAAATCTCAAATGATTTATGACATCATTGAGAAATCCAGTGGATTCTATGTGTAAGTTACTATGTAGATGTAAGTTACTATAACTCCTTTTCTTGGTTTTCAAGATTTGCTATATGGCACCCAGAGAAATAACTTCAAAAAATGGTGACAGTAACATGTTAAAGTTACTGCTCTATTTTTTTCCCAGATGTTAAAATCAGGTGCTGGGTTAATTAGGGCAAACTTCACATGCAACTGCTTTTGTTTAGCAGTTTCTTAAGCTGTTGCATTAGAATGGGAAGGTGGGTTTTTTGTTTGTTTGTTTGTTTGTTTGTTTTTAAATCATTGTCCCTACAGATTAATTATGAAAACCTATTCAAAGCTTTGATCTGAAATTTTTAAAATGCAGTACCTGGGGGAAAAAGTGGTCTAACAGCATGATCAGCTTTTTTTTTCTAAAAATTGGACAATATTTGAGCATGTCAGCCACACCAATTTTCTAATTGTTTAACAAGCTGCTACATACATTACCTCATAGTTTCTTCTTATATGGTCAAGAAATTCTGTTAAATTTTTCCTAGTCTTTCCATGCTGAGGCCAGTAGGTTAGATGCCTATGCTCACCCATAGAGTTGAATTCTACTACTGCTGTCACTGGCAAGAAACTCCTATGGAAATAGCTGAGAAAAGGATTAGGCTTAAAAGCATCTATAAAAATCATTAATAACTTTTCCTCAATAGCAGCTTTATTTTTGTCAAATATAGTACATGTGTACTTCGGGTGATTTAACACTATGGAAAGTATTGAGGAGTTAGTGTCTACTTTTTAGCCTCAGGGGCAAAAAAAATTGTTAATCTAATGTTGATATAAATCGGAGCAATTGTCTAATGGTTTAGTAAATCTATTGATGACTATTATCCAGACATTTTCCCTTGTCTCCAACATAAAATGTCTCCAACATTTCAGATCTAGTCAACTTTCCAAATAAGTAGGATGGGACAAAATTAGAGTTAATAGAAGTTGGTTGCAGTTTTAATACGTGGGATATAGTCTCTCAGTACTATCTCTTCCCCCCTGCCAGCTTAGCTACTTTATTGACAGACATAACCCTCTGCATTTAGCATGATAGTGACTTGAGGCTTTGATTCTGCTACACTGAAGTCATTGGGAGTTATTTTTCCTTTTGCTTCAGTGAGAGGATCAAGCCTTGAGAAGTATTTCATGACAAATAGAAAAACTTTGGCCCTGCCCGGGTGTAAGCAGGGGATGCCATATAGGACTGATGGTAAATAAGTTGCATCTGAAGGATGAAATCACAGCTTACACTAATACTGACATCTTTTCATTTTACCAATGTGTAAAGAAACCTTTTGTAGTTAAGGTTGCAGCATTTTTACCATGCCTCTGGCTAATGGTAAAGGCTTTTACCACCTGGGTAGTGGCATGCCTTGCTGGTCAAAGAATGTGACAAGCCTTTCAATGCATTGGAAAAGCTGCCAGAAAATGTTGCATTTCACTTGCATTTTAATTGTCAACTTCCATATGCTAGCAACATACATTGAATGGATGTTAAGGAATGTGGTGTCCATTCTTTTTCAGATAAAATATTAGTATCTAAAGGGCAAGGATTTTTGTGGATGGTGTCTTTTATTGGACCAACTGTTAGTTGGGAGGGACGTAGAGGAGCATTCTGGTACCACTTTACCTTTTCTCAGACCATATTTTCCTGGACCACTATGGCTATAACATACTTTCCTGGACCACTGTGGCTATAACATCACCTCAACACTACCAGTAACTTTGAAAATGTTTTAATTTTGAGATTTTTTTTGTTTGTTTTATAACAAATTAACACCTGACAATCTACAGAGTAGCCCAGTGTAGCAGGTTCAGGGTTAACTAGCTCACTCATAGTCCTTCAGTATCCTTTTACAGGCTCACCGCCTCTTGTTGCCTGTACTCTCCAGAGAAAACTCCCACCCAGCAGGCATCAATTAGCATGAGCATTGTTTATTCTAACCATATACGTATTCTCTGATGCGTTCACAATCTCTGGCCAGCGCCCAGGAGAAAGGCAGTCAAGGCAGGGTCCTCGGGCACTGCTGTGCTGACCCACCAGCTCTTCCCTCTTGGTTCTCCACTTCCAGATTCTCTGTTGTTTGGCTCTCAGGCTCTTGGCTCCCAGTAAGCTCTCAGCCCTTTGCTACTGGCTGCCTGCCTGCCTTGGCTCTCAGCTCTCAACTGTCTGCCTGTTCTAGGCTCCTCTCTCTAGAAACCTAACTTTCACACCCCTCTGGTTACTTCCCTTTCTGGGAAGTCTCTGGCTTCTTTCCCAGAAGCCCTCTTAATTTTCTGTGGGCCAGCTGATTATCTGGATCAGCTGGCCCAGTCCTCCTAGATAACCTGTAATCAGGTTTCACTTTCTGCAGTTGGGCTCTAGCCCTTATCAGCCTGCAGTCTGTCCCCAGGCTCAATAGCGGCCTTAGGGGAGGGCAAACCAGGTGACCGCTCAGGGCCCCACACTTTATAAAAATAAATATTAATTGCAATGAATATTTGTATTATCAATGTTGTAGTAAGATACTTTCGTTGTGGCTTCATGAATAGGGCAAAGTGAAATTGAAATCGAAAATGTCCAAGTTGCTTTTAGATCATCAAAATTAAGCCTCTAAGGGGCCCCAAATGACTGTCTTGCCCAGGGCCTAACAACCCTAAGGCCACCAACGCCAGGCCCTTTGAGCTGAAAGGCTGCTACATGCTACACCCACTAATAAAGGAAACTCTACAGCTTCATGCCTTCTTTCATAACCAGCAGGTGTTGGAGAAAGCTCTAACATTGACATTTCTTTTCCACAAATACCAAAAGTATTTTTGCTTAAAGGTACTATCTTGAACTATTCAGCTTTCAGTAAGGGAAGGATTGGAGCTGTGGTACTTCCACTCTGTTTTGAGCCTACATGTGGTTGTACAGCCCATGAAAGAGTTGTATCTTCTCCTCTTGAGGTATATTTGTAAAAGAATTAACTAATCTTGAGGGAGGACTGTAACTATTAATCAACGTTACCTTAATTTTAATGGGCATTTCCTTGTGCCTAGTTCTTAAACTTTAATAAGTAAATTGCCACTTACTTTTGATGACACTGTACTTCATCCATTCTTTATAACATCTACTCCCACAGTATTTAAGTACCTGGAATTTTCAAAGGGGGCTAAGGAAGTTGGTTCCCACTGGGTGCATCTGCATGTTCATTAGTGCACTTTAAGTAATACACATTAAATCTAGTACTTCCTGGCACCTATACATGTGCTGGACCTCTGTCTGAGGTATGCTAATAAGAAGCATTCGAACAGACTTAATCAAGTCTGCCAGAGCATGTTAACATGCTCTAGCAGCCTCTGTGTCTTGCGTATTCAGCATCCCTACACCTCAAAGTGGTGGTGGGGGGTGTGATTGAATGAAAGCTTGTTGAACTACTATTAGTTCAAGCAGTCCTGCCACTGCTTTGAAGTGTGTGACCCTGAATACACGTGACACTGTGGGCACTTGGACCCTCTATAAAGTGCCCCCTTCCCCCAACCCTAGAGCACATGCATAGATACCCTCCATTGTGAGGTACTAGAAAAATGTGCATCAGCGTATTTTAATGCACATTAGCTAAAGACCACATTTTTTGTGACACTTTATTGTGCATTAAAATGGGCTAATGTGCACTAGAGCAAATGTGTACATGCACCCACTGACTTTCAGTGGAAAATGAGAATAAGATTTTTCAAAAGCAGCCAAGTAACCTAGGGGCACTGAATGTAACTTAAGATGCTAAATGTCTAAATTTCTGTAGGTTTCAGGGTCCTTTTGAAAAAAAACAGAATAAAACAGTATCTGAATTTGTAAAAGTAAGTTAGGTTTTATTAAAGTTACATTACCAATCACATCTAACAATGAACATTTTTTTAGCCCAGATATACAGTTTGTTACTTTTTTTTATATCAGTTTAACCGGTTGATGTCAAATCTAGGATGAACTGCGGCCAACTATATCCAAGTAAAAAGTGTCATGCAGTGTAAAAAAGAGGAAGAAGCTTGACATAGCCAGGATTAATTATAATGTGCTGGCTAAAGTTGACTGAGCCTCAGCCTCTTTCCTAGTTTAGAAAATCGAAGATAGTAAAAAAACAAAACAAC